CCAGGTGCGTGCCGTGCCTTCCAGAGCAAAGTAGACGTTCTGAAGGCACTGCTCCGGTGTCCATCGGTTATGGCGGGCCACTCTTTCGTAACGTTGTAGCCAATCTTCAACGTCCTCGTGGATCTCCCCGGTGAAAGGCGTCGGAGTCCGGGGTGCGACGGGCAAGTATACGACGGCAGAAGCGGCCGGGATCTCCGACTGGTTGGCCATCGCCGTCGTCTTGGGCCTCGGCTTGTCCGGCAGCAGACCGTACTCAGGATCCTCTCCCGTTATGCGGCGGCTGGTCCGAGATTCAGGTTCCGCGGTGAATGGTCTTCTCACCAAGCCGGGAATCGGACTTGTGCTGCGGGCCCTTGGAGGGGAACGCTGCACGGGCATGCGGTACCCCGCACCTCCACCAAAATGTCACGGGTGGTGACCAAAAATAACAAATAAACAGGAAGAAATAAACGTTTAATGTGGCGAACTTGTGCCAAAAATAAAAGAGTACAAAAGATAATAATAGAGCGTCGCGGGCGTCGAAGTCGGCGTGGCAGCAGAGTCGAACGCTGAAGCGAAACTGACTCGACAAGGTAGCGGGCGGCCTCTTATCTAGAGTGTGTCACTATCTCGAAGATTCGGCGAAAGCGGCTCGAGCGTCGCGTGATCGGGGCGAGAATGAACACGCACTTTCTAGAAAACAAAAGCAGGAACAAATGATAGAAGTTACGTGCGGTACATGAATAGACGAGAACTTTCTGGGGGTCCGTGACCGAGCGTTGCTTTCTCAGCCCTGCGCGCGGCAATATCAGATACCACAACATTGGAAGCTGCTGCCCAAAAAAACAACTCTATTCTGAACTAAAACGTTCCACAACAGTGAGGGTCGTTAGATGCTGCTGCCGATACGTTAAAAGAAGTGCAGGCTGATAAAACTAAATATCCTGTATCATCAGAACTCAGTGTTACATATTTAATTGTATTTTTTATGTGACGAGCAGATAAACTTTTTTTAAATGTTTTTTTTTTGTGTTTACTTTGTTGAATTTTATATATCCTGTCTTAAAAAAGGCGACATGCGCTGTGTTTCAATAATAGAGATGGGCTTTATATAGCAATGCAGCATTATTTCATTTTTAAGTAATATGCCAACATATGCCGGACCCTGCTCCAAAAGGGCCACTAAATGCTCCAAAACAACATTTTGCCTGCTACAAGTCCTGCTCCAAAAGGTCAAATGGCACTTCCATCACTGTGTAAGGTTTGTTATGCTCCGTACTATGTGCGTTTACGTCCGTCAGTCGGCCAAGAGATTGACGTTGCGTCGTACGTCAGGGTAGCAACTTTTCGTGCGTACAATACGCCTGCTACTGAGTTCTCGTTGATCTCAACTGCGGATGTTCGGTAACTGGGACTTAGAACTTTGCAGGACCCCCTCGAAAACGTTGTTCAAAGCCTGTCCCTGCGTCAACTCACTCTTCGTTTTCGACGTGTTTCGACCCATTCACCACTCTGACTTCACCTATATATCTTATATGACGAAGTAGAGGTCCCTCGGTAGAACAACGGAAGCTTTATTTTCGACGTTTCAACCGGTGTGCGGTCTTCGTCAGGAATGGGTAACAAAAAAAGGTTAGGTCATACTTATACAAATTACGGTGCAAGTCCATTTTTGAGGGCGTCTGGAGCGACGGTAAGAGGTCGTTAAAAAGATGTCCGGATGCGCTAGGTAAACTAGGCTTCCGAGAAAATGAACCGACCCACAACAATTATCTGTACGCTGCTTTGTCATTGGTCATTTAGATATCGTCTTCATTTTAGTTTTACTGGAAGCAACCACTTTTTCCCTTTTTAATGCCCGCAGGTCCGGAATTTTCCGCCGCTGTTGACCATCTTTGGCGTCTGGCAGAAATATCGTTTTCGTCTCAAGTGCCAATGCTGAAACCTAGTTGGATTAGTGTCCTGCGCCGCTGAGCTGTTCTGATACGGTGCAATAAGTATTAACTAGTCATGCTTTGCTTTTTTAAGAGGTCTCACAAGGAAGCACTAAAGAGTGTTGACAAGAGCAAGACGAATGACGACAGGGTAAAACGGAAAGCCGCGGCACCCAAGGAAAGACCCGAATCTAGCACAGGGCCTCCACAACATAGAATAGCAGCAGCCCAGCCATCAGTGGCAGACTATATCAGGAGCTTGAAGTCCCCGTTCGGCCAGAGTACGAGTACTTAGATTATCTGCCGTTGATGTTTGTATCCTTCTCCTGGTGCATTAAGTTTTGATAACGAAGCCTGCCAGTTTTGTTGTGCTTAATTATGTGAACTGAACATTTACATATCTAAGGTCTCCCAATACTCTTTTCCGCACGTAATTATAATTGTGACTCTGGAAGTAGTATTTGTAGGGGGTGTTTTAGAAACCAGGAGGGAGTTTCTTCAGGCGTAGCATTTTCAGTTTTGTAAAGTACAAAATTTGAGCTCAATTTATAGCGTGGAAACACTACGTGATGCTAAATTGCTTTACGACTGTAATTTATTTTCAGTTATATGTTATCTTGTATTTTCTACGATTTTGACGAAGTGAATAGAAAAGTACCTGTAAAAAGTAACTTTACTTAGTTACAAGTTACTGGAAAATGTACCTAAGATACAGATACAGATACTGAGAAATGAAAGTACCTAGGTTTGTACCTGAGGTACAACAAAAGTACCTAGTTATCGATTTACAGTTACTTGTACCTAGGTACTTTACAACCCTGCAAGCAAGCTATACCCATAGTTTGCGCCTAAAACGTATTAGAGTTCTCCTAATGTTATCGCTTTAGTTATTCACTCTCAAACGAACCCCCTCCATCAGTGCGCGTTAATGCAACTGTCCACCACCTCATGCCTTACGATTTTTCCTTTCCCCAAGCATTTTTTCTAGTCAAAACTAAGTTTGGATTCGTTCATACCAGACACTAGACAATAACATATAAAAACATCAGTTGATTCGAAAATGTCGACTAGCCATCCTTTGGTCGATCTTATCTGAAATCACCCAGAAACCAAAAAATTAAGGTAGATACATCATACACATCGTCTCAAGCGCAGTTACTGCGTTTATTAAAATACCCGTCTTAAACACGCCACTTTTTTATGTTGCGAAAAAAGGGGATGTGCAACGATATTTGGTGGGGACGTTCCTCTCTTTACAGCAGCTTACTGGCACTGGTGGGACCCAAGGATACTCCAACGCAGCGTCACTGACCAAGAAACTCCTCTGTTGCGGTATAATTACAGGGAAAAAAGCGGACCTTTCCTTCCGGTGCTTCCTTCGCAGAACTTGATGACGGAGCCAATTGCGTAGCTGGGGAGGCATTGCCAACATTGCAATCCGCATATGTGCGCCGTCAAGGTTTGCGAACCCCGCTGTAACGATATCTAAATGTGCTTGGATGAGGGGAATAGCCGAGACTTAACAATGCGTTGAACTCGGCAAGCGCCCTGTGCTCTACCAAACCGAACGCGTGGCTGTGTTAAAAGCATTGGCGGCGTATAATCGGATCTATATCACGTGGCTGCTTGTTTCTGGCTGCGAGTTGAGGGGGAAAACGGTGTTTCTTTTTTCTGTTTTTTTTTCTGCGACTGCCTTTGAGTAGAGTAAAAGAGCAACGCGGTCTTTCATTGTTCACAAACGTGAAGGAATCTTTCTAAGCTGTATTTATGCAAAATAGAAAAATTGTTGCATCACCCCTCTATACCATACGAACTTTCCCCTTTCCCATGGCATTTAACATCAGAGTAAACTAAACGCAGCTAGCCATTCACCCTCACTGTTTTCCGTTGATGTGTCTGGTCAGGTATTAACTGCGAGCAATCGCGAAATTTTAACTAAGCCGGGGTCGTCCAAATCAGATGAATAAAAATATTGTTTTGGCTCGCACACTCCCGTTCCTACCGCCCTCAAGGGCCGGGAGAATGGGGAAATGAGGGAGGGTGTAGGTGGAGCAACATGAATCCAAGCACCTATTTTTTGGTCTCTTAGGACCTTAGCTATCCTTTAGGCCAAGACATAACAGGGCACGGGGCTCGCGTGGCAATATTTATTTACAAGTACCAATCGATCTTTCAAAGTAATCGGTTGGTCATGCCCAACCTGCTCTCTGTATTCATTGCAATACTCCGGGTGCTTTGCACAAAAAAAGTCTAATAAATAAACGTATTCCTTCGGGGTGCTGCTCTACGCCGCGGTGGATGTCCGAGTACGAGATGAAAGCGATAAACCCTCACTTTTTAGCAAAATTCTCTAATTTTCTCCCTAAACTTGCGAACTAGTTTACACATTTCAATCAAAAATCTGTTAGTCGTAGTGAAAATAGTCCAGTTATAATGCTGAAACCTAGATTAAGTCTGGTGAACCTCATTGGTCGATTTAATCTTGTAAAGGAACCGTGCTGTCGAAACTCAGAGGCAAAATATCGAATAAATATCTCCCCCGAGGCACGATGTAAGATACATTTTAGGCGAGGACACACAACACGGCGAACGCTGCTACTCCAAAAGACGCTTCTTTTTTTTTATTCTTGGTTAGTACGGGCTTTCTATACAGGGTGTCACAGCAAAATTAAAAGCCTCCGTAAGTTTCGCAAGCCACTGCCCGGATAAAGGACTGTGTGCATTGGGTCATGGCTAGTAGATTCCTCTGCCACCTCAGGCGGTAAATGCGCTGAAGTTTTACGAGAGTACGGCGGAAAGCTGCAGGGGGACACACGTTTGTCTTGGCGTCACCGCCTGCTAGCGTCGCGCTTCTTGTAAGACGCTGAAGGAAACGCTGGCGGCGACGCTGACCGGTCTCGTCGTTCGTCGCAGGTAGAAGAGTGAGGTGCGTGCAGGTAAGAACAAAGCTAAGAGATTATACGCCGTCGAGGCCCCGCGGAGGAACCATCTGGGCAACGCGTACTCGCGTATAGGTTCTCTAATTCGACGGAAACTCGAAGAACTATCTTATCCTTCTGGCTTATTCAAACCGCGTAGCTTTTTTACTTACGCATGGGCCAACTCATGAGCAGTTACACGGACACCTTGATACGTTCCCGGCTTGTCTTCTCCAACTCCGACATTGTTGAATCCGCACATCACCGCGACAAAAGTCATTCCTATAAAAAAAAAAGACGCAGTAAATTGGCACATCAATAATCCAACCCCGTTTTGCAGTACTAAAAAAAACTTCGCTTAAGTTGCGAGTCAGAAAAATGAATTTTTCTTTAAGGCTCGTTAAACTATTAAGTGCTAGATACAGTCATCCATCTGCGTAAAAAACCTCACTTCGAACTCTTTTGTTCACGTTCCGCCCTTTCAAAAGCACGGCCAAAGAGTGCCAACTGCGCCATTCAATCATAATAGTATTTCCAAAAAGGCCTTATTTTGCTTTTCTTTTTAGCCTAGAAAAACTTTGACATTGTAGAAACACTGGATGTAATATAAAGTCTTACGCATCCGTCACGCGTTTAAAAAACACACAAAAACTTCTGCTGTCTGACTCGGATTTCGTCTTTGGGTATTTTTAGTGAGAACAGCGTTTCTTAATTTAAACGTTTTGTGAACATATTCCAAACTCATCACCCCTGGCAATATTTTGTAAAATTCATGATTCTGGTATCTTCTGCTTTGGAATAATGTTAGACCAATCAATCATCTAAATACCCATTAACTCATTAAAAGTCCTGCAGTTTATTATTTCACATGACAATTATTAAAAGCAATCATTACAAGCAGTGTGCCACGCCTTCTTACCGCACACAGCGCTCTGCTGGTGACGTCACGATCCCCCACAGCGCAGGCGCGGTGAATCCCGCTGGCTCCACGCCTGCCGTGACGGTGCATATGCGTTGCTGTGCTTTTCTTTCTGTTTTACTTCTGAACGCGCGTGCTTGTTGACTTGCATTTAGGTGCCGGTTTGCTCAGCCAATGGGCATTTAGGGATTATTACAAACAGCCAATGGGACTAGCTGCCGTTTTTCGTGGTTACAGACAACGCCGGCTGCACTCCATGGAACAGTTAATGCTTTCAATTTAAAAGTAAATTAACGTAGAAGTGAGAACTACGACATTCTGCCGAGGCAATCTTAGGTAGGAAAAGAGAGAGAAAGGGAAATGAATGGTCATTTCGGAGATATGGCAATCTTAAAATTATACGAGGTAACAGACTATTTAATGATAAAATAGATTAAGTCTAAATTAATCGGTATGCGGCTATCAGTGAAAGTAGTTACAGTTGTAATAATACCTATCATTTCTAATAGTTTAGTGTGAAATAAATCAATCCAGTCATAATGCACGCACCCATAAGAGTTATGTCAAGATTCTGGCCGTTCATCTGAGCAAGGTCTCTCCTAAATCCAGGTGGAGGAACAATACGTTAGTGTAGACATTGTGGAGACATCCTGTTTAGAGTAAATATACTTTAAAAAAGCAAACATATTAAGAATGCAAATAAGGTTTGTCACTCACCCTGAAAACAAATAAAAGAAATCTGGATTCCCAAAAACGGGCCTTTGACGAAGAAACCTATATAAGTTTCTCAATGACTGTTCAGCCAATACATATCCCAATGAATAAGAGTATATGAGTGATTCCTCCTAGAAAATTATTCTAAAAGTAACAAAAACACTTACTAGAGAAAAAAATTCACTCACCTGATATGTCAGTCGGTACATGCCGACAATTCGTATGGTAACAAAGGGGTCGGACAGCAGTGTAAACCGAAGTTTCACCTAAATTTAAAGGACAGTTGGATTAATTTTTTTTTATTTCTAACATGTTTATTGTTGTGATATTTAAATGACAAATTCTTTATTTTATAACCATCAAACATAATTTTTCAATCCATTATTAAAACACGACATAATTAAGTATCAATCATTTTTTACTTTTTGCTTTTATTTACTTTATAGGCTGGGCATCTAAATAAAAATGATCATAGTTTCATTTAATTGAAAAAATATTTAGAAAGTGTTTAAACAACTAATCGTGTCATCAAATTTTATGAGCGTAATCAGCTAGTATTGGTTTCTAATTAAGAATAAGCAAAAACTAGAGTGCGTGAACGCGAAATGCATGGCTGTTTCAGCAAAATACATACGTTTGATTGGCTAGTGAAGAGCTCGAGGGAAGAGAAATCTTGGCGGAGATAATAAACGCGTGTCTGTCCACTTTTTGCGTCTGGTGTATTTTTATGAAGGGGAACGCTGACTTGTCCTATACTGGCTAAGACATTTGCATTTGAGGAGACCTGACTCCGTTAATTCTCGTAGCTTTCCTTTTTAGACCCGTTGCACGGACTGCAATTTTCATAGCAAACGTCTGGTCGTAACAAGTCATCAGTGTGGGTTCGTCGTTTGATCGTTTTGTAAGGAATTATATGCTTTTGAACGAAACCCCTAATTCCAATGTTTTTCTGTCCGTTCATTTCCCGCCAAATTTAGCGGCGAAACTAAATTTGCGGTTAGGTTACGTGACGTGGATTAAAGTCGCATAACCTGGCATCACGCGATCTATACAACACTTCAGTTTTCCCGCTAGAGTCAGCATGGGAGTTGATGTCACTTGACCTGAGGTCACGTTATATGTGCACTGACTCAGTTTCCTCGCTAAATTTATTAGAAAAATTCACGTAACGTGGCGCCACGTCACGTGACTTCTAATCTGCATCATTTCAGTTCCCTCGCTAAATGTGCCGAGAAAATCGGTGTCACGTGTCTCGAACTCCTTCGCTTCCATACTAAACTTAGCAACGAAACCGACGTCACGTGAGCTGACAGCACGCGACGCAACAATACGATTCCCCCAATGGATCTAGCAGGAGAATTGACGCAACGTGACTTATACACAAGTTTCGTTTTCCCAGTAAATTTATCTGGAAAATTAACGTCGCGTGATGCACCCAGTTTCTCCCTCCAAAAAAAAGACACTCTACTCTTGAAATGTCATTTTAATGTGTCTTAAATATTGCTAACCAATCGCACCTTAAATTTTGCTATTCACGCACTATAGGTTTTTGAGGAGAAAGATCGTTTCCAACTTTTTTCTTCAAGTTCAAAGTTTTTTTGTTTGTTTCTTTTTGGTAGGGGAGGTTTTTTGTTTTTCCGTACAATCGGTGTTTCTCGTTGTCTTAACAAATTACCGCTTCTCACAGTATGCTGAAGTAGAGAAGACACTCTCGTGTGATTTTTCAATCTCCCAGGACCATGCGTGGGACCAGCATACTTGGAAGCCGGCCGGGCATTCATAAGAAAAGGAAACGAGGGAAAAGCTGTGATTCCCGAAAAAGGAGGTAGCCTCGCAGGAAGTTCTCTGCGGGTTTTTTTCTGGGAAGTGATGACAAGCGCGGCCAGCTGAGCGAAAAGACTTAGGGATAAGAGACTTGAGGACAGCAAAGGGCACAAGACCCTGACTCTCGCGCACGAGAGGCATGGTGTAAGCTCCTTTAAAACTCCGCCTAAAGAACACATCTTACAATTATTCCATTCACACTAAGCTCAAAAAAGGAAATATCATAAAAGAAAATAGCATAAAGCACAGCGACTAAAAGCAAATCTTCCAGAGGACACCTTTCAATAACGCAACAGCTCAACCCGTCAATCGCCGCCCACTTTTTGTTGTCTTAATTGCGTTTTTTTTTTTGTTTGTTTATTGAATCACCGCTGAAACTCGAGGTTCTTAGGTTGTCTTAAACTTTCGTAAATACGGGCACGAGGGTTACTCTCGGAGTTTATCGATACATATCGAAAGGTCGAAACGCTGGTTATGAGCAGTGGTAACAAAGTCCGTCGAGCACAGACACCGAGGTCTAACTGACATTAACATTTTCAGGAGTAGAATTCAAGCGTGACACGGCAGATGGCGTGCTAAAACAACTTTGTACGAGAAGCACAGGTTCCCGTACCTGTAAATTTTAGCACGAGAGCAGTACCCAAAAAACAAGCAGATTGTTTTGTTAGGAAGGTGACCAAGACTTTTTTTAAACATTTTTACTTAACAGTTGCATATGACTATATTCTTGAATCAGATATGTAACCCACAGCCAGATAAAATGAACCCTTTGTGTGAGGTGGTTCGTAAATTCAAAATTAAATGTCCTAACAGGCATGAAGTTTCCCAATGTTACCGAATAGATTGGACTAATATTTTTGCTAGGCTTTTTTTTCACCAATGTACTTATAGTTTGTTCCTCCATGTCTTACATTTTACAAGATCGTGATTGTCTTCAGGTTTTAGAAATTTGGGATATAAACTACTTTGATACCAACTTTTCCTAAATAAATCAATGGAAGCCCGAGGTTTATTTGCTCTTTTGCTAGGCTTTATGCACTTATAAGGAAAGAATTTGTTATAAATTTCTCGGAAAGTTTCCAAAAATGTTTCGTATGCTGCATCAGGGGAATAATTCGCTAAAACAGGGCCCCAATTAGCTTTACCAATGAACTCCCTAAATAACTGCGTACTTTGCTATGTAATGTTACGTTTTCTGAATCCTTATGATTTGTGTTTTCAGGCTGAGAAGTGCTTGTTAATAAGAAGGAGATGGGTAAATGACCACTAATGCTGTAGCTAATTAAACCTGATGCATAAATATCTTCCTGTTCGCAATTTGTAACGTAGTAATCACGTAACGCACAGCCATTTTTTGTTATTCTCGTTACAATTGTATTAATACAACCAATACAATTTGATTCAACTAGAGAAAATATTTCATCGTGCAGAGTTGATGTTTTTAAGATATCAATATTAAAACCACATTAAAAGGAGGAATATATAATTATTGTCATTAACTTAACTGAATAATTTTAGAGCGCAGCTCTTAGGGGCCCGTTTCCGGCTTGAGCGGCGTCGGCGTCGCCGTCGCCGTCGGCGTAACCGCGCGGTGCATCATGGGAAATATCCCATAATGCACCGCGCGAGCCCCCCACCGGGGTCACGTGACTTCGTGGGGAGGCACGTGACCCCCCCGAGGTCACTGACCCCCCGAAGTCACGTGACTCCCCTGAGGTCACGTGACCCCCTCCTCGAGGTCACGTGACCCCCCGAGGTCACGTGACCCCCGCCGATGTCGCGTGACCCCCCGATGACGTCATCGACACTGATGACGTCACCGGCATCCACATCGTCATCGTCATCATCACTGATGTCATCATCAGTGATGACGATGACGATGCGGATGCCGGTGACGTCATCAGTGATGATGACGATGACGATGTGGATGCCGGTGACGTCATCAGTGATGATGACATCAATGATGATGACGTCATCAGTGACGATGACGATGTCGATGCCGGTGACGTCATCAGTGATGATGACGATGACGATGTGGATGCCGGTGACGTCATCAGTGATGATGACGATGACGATGTGGATGCCGGTGACGTTACCGACATCCGCATCGTCATCGTCATCATCACTGATGACGTCATCAGTGACGTCGCTGATGTCGTCACCGGCATCCGCATCGTCATCGTCATCATCACTGATGACGTCGTCAGCGACGTCACTGATGACGTCACCGACATTCGCATCGTCATCGTCATCATCACTGGTGAAGTCATCAGTGACGTCACTAATGACGTCATCAGTGACGTCAGTGATGACATCATCGGCATTGGGGGTCACGTGACCCCCCAAAGTCACGTGACCCCCCCTGGTTGGTCTAACCCCCCCCCCAGCTCCCTTCCCTCCTCCTCAAGAGCTGCGCTCCAATTCGGCGTTACAGGGAGTTGTAAGCGGCTTTCACTTTTTTCAAGTAGAGACAGCATGATGTTTATATTTCCAGAGGGAGATTGATATAGCACCCTGAAAACGTACTTATCCCAGAGTTCTGAGAATAATTCAAAAGAGGCATTCAGTTCCGTAAAATTGGGAAGAATGCAACAATTCAATGATAGTTTAACAAGCGTTAAAACACCTTCCCTACTTCCAGGATTTTGAAGTACAAAAAAATGTTTGTATTAGGCAGGACAAAGCCATATGAATCCGAAGTTTACCAGGTATAAGAGAACATAAGTAGGCTGAAAGAAAAACGCATGGCATTAAGAAGAACTTCAACGTCATCAACTTGCGATATCATGGAGCCTACATCCATGTGAAAAAAGATAACAAAGATTGTTTTTGGTTACTCATAGCATCAATAAACTCTTCACTCTGAAGGCAGAGATTAGATAACGGAGAGATTTTGTATTAAAAGGAAAATGTGTATTATCAGGGTAAAAACGTACATTGAGAGCTTAATCCGACTTTTTTTCACAAAATACGCTTCTGAATACAATTTGCAAGGCAATATACGTACTACATAAAATCGTATCTCAACATCGCCGCTCGTTTTAAGTGTCTCGTTCGAGATTTGTAGAGAATGATAACTCACCGCATTCAGTAGGGCAATTAAATACGTGAACAGGTTGGGGAAAGTTATGCCATAGACAGAATCTACCAATATAAATAGTTCACAAACAATAAGGGAAGCGGATGCAACTTGTCGGTTTTCTGTAAAGAAAGGTAAATTGTTGAATAAGTCACTCTGTATACCATCCCAATAGTGCTTGAGCAAGACTCTCAGATGATGCGAAGAGAATGCTTACCTAATAGGTGCAATTTCGATGTATTTTTAACCGCTAGATCTGAAAGAAATTTCACCACACGATAATTGAAATGCTCAGAGACGTAGTATTTATTACTTTATTTTTTTACAATGGTTTGCACCCGTTGTATTGTCCCCAGGTAAAATACTGGCAATTTTTGTTTTCTTTGAATAGTTCACACCTCGTGTACACACCGCACTCGGTGCAGAGTGCGCACGTGAAAATCTGTCATACACAGCTCGCAGTGACAAGTACCTGCTATATTAGCTGACAAAAAAAAGCTCGTGTCATACATGAATCATCATTAACCTACGCTGTCATTGATAAAATCCGTCACGTATCGTCCTAATGAACAACCTAAAAAAATCTCCATAAACTCCGCACCAAATGATTGTTCGCACCACGCAATATTTCTACTTTTAGATATGTTTGTGCGCGCACAATATTGAGAAATATCCAAAATTCTGAACAGCTCCCTCTTTTTGCATGTACAACTACGCGTGGCTTTGATGGCACGGTGCTGTTTTCGGCTCTGCACATGTGCCGGCGTTTCGCTTGACGCGAATGCTATTTCTGTGCGCGCCCTATGCACACACACCTGGTGAGGAAAACGCTAACTGGTTCGCAATCATCATGTTTATTTTTTTTTCAAGTATCAGATAGCATATTCTTGAAGCATGGCAAATGTATTAATGTCTTCGCGGATAAATGGAAATAATATTGAAAGTGCTTTGCTTTTATTTACTTGAGTTGGTCATGTGATGTCTTCTCTTTTTAACTCGCACTTTAGAATGTTGATAACACTATGGACGGCATAATTTGGTATACCGCGTCTATCATTATTTTCTTACGGCTGGAAGAGCGTGTCACTATCATTGCGTGTTGCAGTCGATTGGGCTTAAAATTGTTCAACTGAGAATGCTTTTTTTTGTTTATTTATTTATGGTACATAATCTCAAGTGCCGAAGCGTTGAAGAGGGGAGGGGCAAAGCAAACAAAAATAAAAGAAAATGACAAAACAAAAAACACGCGGCAATAAATTCAAATATCGAAAATACGCTGCGATTGGCAAAAGCTGTAAGCAACATCTGTTACGAACAAAAATAAACAAATTAAAATGACTCATGTTGGCTCATCGAACAGATATGTAAACAAAGATTGGTGAAAAAGAAAATAATCGGGTATAGTTGCGATATCTGCTGGAAGGTGGTTCCAGCCATTTGATGCATGCGGGATAAATTAATAAAAAAGAGTGTTTGTTTTGCAGCCTGTTAATCCAACTTTATTCTGAGGGTCCAGACGGGAGAGGTAATAGTTAGGCGATGTAAAGAAATGGTCTCGCAGCGACTGATGATGGTACACTTTATGAAACAGGCAAAGTCGAAAAAACTTTCCGCGCAATGACAAAGGGGGCAACAACAAACTGGACTTCATTCATGATATGCCGGCTGTTCGATTATAATTAGACAGAACGAAACGAACGGTGCTATTTCGAACTAGTTCAAGAGATTTATGTAGAAAGGGGTGGTTTGTATCCCAAATAGAGGTTGGGTATTCCATTTTTGACCACCGTACAAGAGTGTCATAAAGAAGAAGTTTTAAGTTAACGGGGGCCGTTCTGAAGTTTCGTCGTAGGCATCAGAACATTCGGTTAGCTTTGGCGATTATTATATCGATATGACGTTTCCAGGTTAAATTCGATAATATAGTAACATCAGATAACGGTACGAGTTTACAGATGATACTTGGGAAAAAAATATTTGGCGGTTTGGAGCATTTTATGAAAACATTCAGTGCATGGAGGGCAGTAAAAGACGACTATTATTCTATTGAGCAAATGCATTGTATCAAACTTTTATCTATTAGCGCTACAGACATCCCATACACTTGCCCGCTTAATCGCGTGCATTTTGAAAGCTTTATTAAGAGTCTGTTGTCGACGAATGTAACACTTCTTGTGCAAATCAGTCACTGTAAGACCATTTACCAAAATACTGAAAACGGAAATGCAGAAATATGCTGGGAACGTAAAAGCAAGTGCCATGCGCACCCGCCTCAATTACTAAAATAAGGTTTAAGAACGCAAGGGCGATATGGTGTTTCTGCAGAGGTTTGATTTAGAAACTTTACATTTGCATACGCTAGTAAGCGCAGCATATGTGATCACACCTCCAACATACACCAAAGTTATTGGATAATTGAGAAAATGCTATATCAAAACGTTCGTTAATATTTAAATTCAAGAGTATGACCGTGTCTTCTTTCGCCCTCAAATATCTAGTACGTCAAAATTAAAATGTTTTCCGTAAAGTATTAGAACATTTATTTGCATGAGGTAGCGAAATGCTTTAATTAAAGGATGAGTTATGTTTTGTTGAGGCTATTGCAAAGACATCTTTTCGAAATTCAATGTTTCGTATGCTCCCCAGCCCAACGCCAAAGGGGAGGGGGTGGGGGAGGGGGGGAGGGTTAGAGGTTGAGATGGGTTCCACCCCCTCAAAAAACAGTTCGGACATTTATAAAAAAAAAAAAAAGAATTCTCCCCCCCTCCCGATTTGCCGAATATGGCCAAAGTCTGTGCGCCAACCTGAATTACTTTGTATATGCAAAGTGTTTCTGTGTGAGTTTAATTATATGGTGGTATTTCAACATACAATGCTGTATTGTTTCGCGGTAGGGATGGGCAGAGGTACTCAAAAAAGATTTCCAGAACACAAACAATGAGACACGTGTATTTTACGGACAAAATGCAGATACTGAGATACGCTTGTTTTTTATGTAACTTTATAATCTTGAAAAACTTCGGCAGAAACGGCACAAAAGTATCCCGCAATACTGAAATGCAGATACAAACAAAATTTACTCCCAAATGGTTAGGGCGACCGGACGTCCCGTTTTAGCTGGGACAATCCCCTTTCCGGTTGCTCATTTCTGCCGTCACGTCTTTTCGTGCCAAAAAACCTCGAGTCCTGTTGTTTTTATGTTTTTTTTTTTGTTTTTGTGTGAAGGTGCAGAGTTGTGAAATCAGTACTAGTCTTTTTGAAGAGAACCTAAATTATGTTTACTCGTTAAAAATTTAGTTTTAACAAACTACTAATAGAGGAACGAGCGTACTTTTTTATTATTAGTGAATACGGCATAATTCGGTTAGCACCATTTCTCCTCTATTATTTAAAAAAATGGGAATAAAAAACATTGGCGTCCATGACTCCGATAGAATGTAGCAAGTAGATGGGGTCATGCAGCAGTATTGCCAAAAAGATGTTTTTCAGTTTATCGTGAAATCCCGACAGTTAAGTTTCTACAGCCATTCTAACGAAATAGCTATGACCGGCATAATATTCATACCCTACCGACGCATGCTACAATATTTTTTTTTAATGTAACTCGATACAGATATACAGATACTTAAAAATATCTCTGGGATACAACGGTGGGGTGTGTCCACGTCGGATCGTACAATGACTATCCGGGCCATATTTTTCATATTTCTGTAATAAATACATGTTAAACCCATGCCCCTGGGAGGAACAGTTAGTTATATGTGGCCACCGTACCTACATTTTTCCCTGAGATATATAAGAATATAAGGTACATCCAGGACACCAAAAATAACGTCAACCGGTCAGCTGGGACATTGCCAAGTACCCACGTGTCCGGTTTGCGGTGCGTCACGCGAGGCGCTACGAACCATAAAACGCTTCAGAGACAACGGCCGTTTTAGAGAAGCCAACAACACCGGGCAATTTGCAAGACGACGACAAGGAAAAAAACAGTCACACGTGATCAAGGGGCCGAACTGGCCTTAAAACGTCGGGCTCCGTATCAATTTTCGGTTATAGTTTTTCTTTCATTCATTCAAGATCGAGAACCTCGAGGGGTGGACATTGCCGTGATTTCATCAAAGCATTTGCACAGCCACCAATGTAACATCGAAGCAAGCAAGTAGTTAAATATATATATATGTATATATATATATAACTGAGAAGAAAAGACCCTTAGTGAAAACAGCAAAAACGGGCGATTTAATTTTCGATGTTTCGGCCGGAGTCCCGGCTTTAGTAATATATAAATAAATATATATATATATATTTATATATTATTCACAAGTTCAATTATGCATACAAAAAGTATTAAGAATAAAAATATATATTTTTATGCAAAAAAAGATACGAAGCACGTAAAAAAATGCGTTTTACATATATTTTCACAAATAATTTAGCAACAACCAAGTTTATGCCAAATTTCGCTGAATATATCAAATGTGCGTCTTGAAATGAAGCGACTGAATATGAAAAAAAATATTTGCTTACCCAATATTGTAGTTCTCTTATTAAGGCAGAAACTAATGTCATTTCTCTAAAGCTTGCATTGCACGTTAATAATAAAAAAATATCCATCTTTATTTCTTTTCAACACTCCCTAACTCCTTGCCGTAACTTGAGCTAACTTGTGATGGCGAAATATTGAATAGCATATGAGCTCCGATTAAGAAAAGCAACAACAAACCTTCACGCCCATTGGGCTAGCTTGTTTACGTTATAAGGGGCTTTGCCGCACGATGTTTGCTCCAAAGATATACTCTCTTGAAGGGGCAAAGTTGTGTGCAACGGCGCTGCTCGTTTGGAGAGCATATAAATTCGTTATAACTTAAATTCATGGGACAGGTAAGCGTAAAAAAGCGGACAAACCAACTAAGAAATTCGGAAACAGCTGAGCTTATGCGACCACACTAAAGCAAGAAAAGTTCAAGAAAACAAAACATGACGTCGCCTACTTGTTTTCACCAGACGTGGCTTCACAGGCTAAATCTCTACTGCACTAGACACACTTTCAAAAACGAGCATGCGCCGTCCAGCACGCCCAAAGATTTTCTCCGTCAGTATTACAAAAACCGCCCAACTTCGTAATCTCAGGGCGTAAGATTATGATCATTCCTAACCAGCTCGTTTGCCTGCGTTCACTTCTCGGAAACTCATACCGTCGCAAGATTTGTCTTTTCACAGCGGAGCTGTTCAGGGCTAGTTTCTCCAGTATCGTGTTTGTCAGCAAACAAATGATGACACGAAACTCTGGACAGCTGCCGCCCTCTATGAGTGACGGCGGCAATCAGACAACCGGCTTCCCGGTTGCCTGCTTGCCACCGTGACTCATAGATGGCGGCGACCTTTCTAGCCTTTCCACTCTGGCTTCATAACGACCATAGTACAGCTTCGCTGGATCTCCATCTTCCCCAGAGTGGAAAGGCTGAAGGTTTTTTTTTTATCTTTCTGTTTCCTTGTGTTGCCTCTTAAAAAAGGGGAGAAGAAGGTGCAATGATTTCCGGACTTCGGTCAAATATTTGTGGAAGTTGCCCTCTGACACTTCAAAAATAAAGAACAGAAAACAGATTTCGCCTGCGTGTCCAAGTTGTTGTGTAAAGAAAATATAAATATTGCCACGTCTGGCACCCCTCAACTCACTCACAGTCTTCAGGGCCACACCCGGTCCCCCTCCAACTGACGTAATTCGGGGTGCTGTGTAGCTTCCCGTGTGCTCTGTCGGATGACGCTTAATCTCCCTCTCTCTGGTGACATTAGCGGGCGTTATGGTGCAGCTTAGAGCCGATCGAAGTCACTTTATGTTTTCGCCATAGTTTCTTCGGCTGCCACTTGCGGCTTCAGGTGAGGGGAAAAGCTCGACTTTTGCTTTCCGATTATGCTGTGGAATCGCGACATTTTTGAATGAAGATGTTTTCTCCATCCCTCGGGACGCGATAAAGAACGTAAAAATGAGGAGATGCATATTCTTTTAATCTTAAAATCGTTGCACCCCCCCCTCCTTATTTCTTAAGGACTTTTGGTGGACGCCACTGCTGCCGGCAGTTGCGAACTGTATGAATGGAAGATTGCCATAAAACTCAAGCGCGCACATAACGAATGTCAGTCACTGCAGATAAAAAACGAGAGACTTCTTCTTTGACATGTTCTCTCTAAATGCTAATGCGAAAGTTTCTGAATGCCTCTCTCAAGGCTCCAAGTATTTTGTTAGCGTGGTGAAATCCAAACAGCAAGAAAAGGTACTCTTGGTGGCCGATTTCTCTCTGAATTCCTTGCACTTCCTTTTACACCTTAAAGGGATAAGCCGGTGTTGTTTGTTTTCTACCTCAATGTTGAACTCCAAGATAGCGATCCCCCGGATACTACTTCTTTCGCTTTGTTTACGCGGTGGCCGACCTTCCTTGTTTGCGTGCTTGAGTTTCCAGACCTGCCATTCATATTGCTTGCAGCCGCCGGCATCAGTGACGTCCGACGACACTCTTTGGAAATAAGGGTGGCGGTCATTAGGAGGCAAAACAAGGAAACAAGAAACAAGGAAACGACATTCTGACAAGTGAACGCAGGCAAACGAGCTGCTTAGAAAACATCAATCTAACACCCTGAGATAAGGAAATCGGTCGGTTATCGTAGTCTTCGCGGAGAGTTTCTTTGCGGGTGCTCGGCGGCGGATGCTCGTTGTCGGAAGCGTGTCTAGTGTTGTAGGGATTTAGCCTGTCAAGCCACGTCAGTTCAAAACTTTGGTACGTCATGTTTTCGTTTCTTGATTTTTCTCGTTTTGGTGTGTCCACATGAACTCAGCTGTTTCTGAGATTTTGTGTTGTTGTCCGTTTTTTATTCTTCCTAGTCCCATGGTTTTAAGCTATGACGACATCCTGCGCTCTGCAATAGACCAGCACTACAGCACACAGTTTGTCAGTTCTAGAGAGTACCTTCGGATCCGACGTCGTGCGGTGAAACCCCTATAACGAAGACAAGCCAGCTCAATTCGAGTGAAGGTTTGTTGTCAGGTTACTCAATTCACATTGATATGCTACAAAATATTGAGCCATCTCAAGTTAGTTCATGATATTGCAAGGGGTTACGGACAGTTTAAAAGAAATAAAAGATAGTTTCTCAAATATTGACGTGCAATTTTGCTACGTTTCGAGAAATTACATAGGTTTCGAATTAATAACAATACTACAATAATGGCTCAGCCAAATATGTTTCATATATTCACAAGCTGCGTTTCGAAACGCACATTTTAAAATATTTAACGAAGTTTTGCGTAAAGGTGTTTATTGCAAAATAATTTGCGAAAGTACCTCTAAAACGCTTTTGTTTTTACGTGGTTCGTATTTCTTGTTTTACAAAGAAATATTGTTCAAATTTTAAATGTGTGGTGTGCATTTCGCAAACTGACTACAAAATATACGCAACAAAACAAAAAAAATCAAACCGCATGCCTGCTTTGGTGTGACACTAGCCACTGTGCAAATTACTATAGTGAAATTTCGACAATCTCCACCCTCCGAGCTTGTATATTTTATATCTCTAGGAGATTTTAGCTACAGCGTTCACAAATAGCTGAATGTTCCTCCAAAAAACCGGGCTTTCAGATATATTATTTACAGAGTTAGCGAAGATATGACCCGGACAGTCATTGTACGATGCGACATAGAAACACTGCGATACATTTGTATCGCGATACTGCCCAGCCCTGTTTTACGGTATAAACTTTATCGGACTGTTTATTGGTTTTTATTAAATTGGGTAGTAGATTAACGCGTCATGAAGGACGATAAAGTACAAACATTATAAGTGATACAATTGCCTTTGTTGTCGACGCATGTTAGCGAGTAAAAACATTCGTGATGCATACCACTGTAAGAAGCCGTGGCCAAAGGAGGCAGTTCAATCCGTGAAATCCTATGGGGTAGTCCTTTCCCAGGCATTCGTTGCATCATAGGCAAGGGCTCAATTTTTAATTGTTCAGTAAGTATTCCTTCCTAAAAGAATACACGTTTATCAGAAATTTGACGTAATTCTATCATGACTTTTTTATACCTAGCTCAATATATTAAGGCGTAAGATCACGCGTTTTGCAATTCACATATTTTGGCTCGACACTCGGATACTGTATTTGAATACTATTTTTAATTACTCATTCTTAACATCGATGTATTAGCAGTTACTTTCGACAAATTTATTTTCCTTATCCGTCACAAGTTACTTTCCCACTACTTTGTTAATAAAACTTCTCTAAAGTAAGTGAACACAAATCTGGTGTTTTGATTTCATTATATTCTGTTCATCCTTAATCTGAAAATGTAGTGGGTGCTACGCATTCGCCGAACCAACGAACCGCCTTCCTTTCATCACTTGAGACCGATCACTGCGCCTGGGTTCGCACGGTAGAGAGATCACATGTCGAAAGTTGCACGAATTGCTCGTCCCTTGGGTACGTAGGTTCCACGGCACTGTCGTCTTAGCGGTGAACAGAAAAAAGTGATGTGCAGTGCTGAAAAAAGATCTAGTCGCTCGGGCGCAAGTTTGGCCACAGCTTTCTTTTTAAACCGCAGCTCTAGGCGCCCCTTTCCGGCTTAAACGGCGTCGGCGTCGCTGTTGGCGTCAGCGTCGCCGTCAGCGTAAACGTAACGCGTCGGCGTAACGGATCGGCGTGACACGATGCCGTCGCCGTCGCCGTCAGCATAACCGTAACGCGTCGCCGTCGCCGTTGGCGTAACCGCGAGGTGCGTTATGGGAAACGTCCCATAATGCACCGCGGTGACGCGCGCGTTGCATTATGTGATGTTTTCCATAAGCTACCGCGCGGGAGGGAGGAGGGAGACTGTGGAGCGAGAAGAGGAGGGGGATAAGGAGGGAGAGGGGGAGGAGGGAGGAGGAGAAGAGGGGAGGAGGTGGGGAGCACAGGAGGTGTAGGTAAAGAGGAAGGAGGAGAGGTGACGGATGAGGAGGAGGGTCATACCGTCCCTTCCGTACCCTCCCCTCCTTCTCCTCAAGAGCTGCGCTCTAATTCGGCATTACAGGGAGTTGTAAAAGTCTTGCATTTTTTTCTTTGTGGCTTCTTAGGTACTTGGTCGTATCAATCTTTTTGCGGAACAAAACATTGAAACACACGGCTACATACACCAACATGTGGCTTTGATGTCACGCCGCTCCCGTGGCCCCGTAGTCGGCGTGACGCATGCGCGGACGCTTGAGTTCACACGAATCTGGTTTCTGCTCACGCGCAGTGCCCATATCTGGCGGATTTGTTTGTCAACAGTCCGCTCGTCTATACTTCGCCCAAAACGGGCATATAGGCGGGTATTTTTAAATTATCCTGCCTTGTGTAAAGTGATGCTTATTCACCGAAACAGTGAAGCCAAGAATTATGATATTACAAACAGTAATATGAGTCTGCGTTCGCCTGTCTGTTCGGTGTTCCAGAACTCAGTACGGGATTTCTGTGTTTATTTGCTAGATCGTGTTTGCCCGCTCCGCAAATACTGCCACTGGCGGCCACCTTTTTGGAAGAGTTATATTACCTCTAGCCAATGTACAGCTGGTGGAGCCACTATCATCCATCCATGGCAGACAGTGTTGTGGGAGTTGTGGTGGCAGGGTGCCATGATAATAGCCGTGGGTTCTATTTCGTTTTCGATTGAAATTGTTCGACGAACCATATTGTTGAAACCAGGCGTGAACGGTAGCTCGATCTTTGAAGACCCGTTGAAAGTTTCACAAAATCACCGCACCGGGGAAAAGCAGCACTGCACGCATCGAAAATCGCATCGAAAGAAGAATCGAAAGCAGACGCCGTACCGGCGCTTGCTTTTGATGCGAGCTGCGCTGCTTTCCCCCGGTACTGCGCTTTCGTAGAACTTTTGCCGGGTTCTCAAACATGTGGCCACCGTTGACACCGGGTTTAAAGAATCTACTTCGTCAAACAACTTCGATCAAGCACAAAATATTACCCAGGGTACAGTGTACTAGACCCACGGCTATTTTATAGCAGCCTACCGCCATAGCGCTGTCCGCCATATTACTATGATCGCTAGAGATAATATAACTCTACCAAAAAGAAGGCCGACCGTGGCCGCATTCCCGTGCATAGGCGGAGCTGGTCAAACGCGATCCAGCAAAAGGTCATAGAGATCAGTGGTACGGGACGACATACATCAGTGCCAGTGATTAATAAAATCTACATGAGAAGTTCAGAAGAAATCTACGCTTCTCTTATTATCACGTTGCTCTTCGCTCGATGGCCGTTCGACAGATGTACTGGAATTTAGATTACTGCGGCTGTTCTGGCGAGTGCAAGTATATTTTTAGAAGTACAAGTCTTGTGTAACAAAAACGCCAGCTGCAGATCCCAAACTCAAGAGCTTTGTATAAGGCTGTGCTTAGGAAAGCTGACACTTACTTTAAACACACGTCGGCAGCCATACAAGATGTCTATTCGAAATGCATCTGCTATGGGCCGTGCAGTGGCGCTCCTGTTTTCTTGCAAATGAATACATCATGAATTACCGTCGCGATAAATCAAAGCGAATTACTTCCCAAGTGTAGACAAGGTTCGAATATCCCGTACGTTTTTCCGTAAACTTAACCTTCGAACGCATTCACTTGCACAGGGTGTGGCACGTTCAAGAGAAGTACATCCGATTTCTTTCATTTACAAGGTAAGATCATTATGCTATTAATCTATTGTACTTAATCTAAAACCATTATTTTACCAATGTAATGCCCTCGTCATTCTTGATCATTATGACTGAAGCAAACTTCTTTCTGTCTTCGTATAGATTTTCCTCCAACTCCGTTCCATTTTTCTGGAAAAAAAAAATGCAATGTTTATCATTATAAACACCGAAATAATTCGGTCGGCAGATGTTTTGACTCTTCAAGGTGGAGTATTTTCTTCACGAAATATTCACACTTTGGGCCCCAAATTAAAAAAAAAAGGAAGAATGGAATAATTTAATAATTCCAGTCAATATTTTGTTTGATTCGAGCTCAAATGTAGCAGGTTTTCAGAAATCACCAGCTTCAGCCCTCAATACAGCCATCGCCACATTCACAGCAGTTGAACACGGGGTATTATAAATACTGAGTGTAAATGACAGATAGCCTACAACCAATTTATCTGTTCTCAATGCAGTTGGGCTTTTATGTTTGAAACCTAAAAGCTGCAAATACTGCGATACCAGTTTACTCTGTAACAATAAACTGTTTACATACTAATCCAGAAACTGCAGTGCTCAGTTTTTTTTACTACTGTTTCCAATACAATTGTTTTAAGCAATAAACGTCAAATAAATACAGTTTAGTAATGCAACCTACCATTCTCAGAGCGAAATTTCTTTCAGAGAACCCTTCAATCAAAACTGTTTCGGCTAATATTGAGGCTTTTTGCAGTTCAAGGTGCAAGTCTTTGTTAACCAGAACTATCTGCTTCCCTCCTTCTGACCTTTCTTCGAGCAGTCTTGGGAACACAATAGCTTCCTCTGGAAATACACCTAAGTAGGAGAAACGAAGAATCAGTATGTATGTGTGTAGCAATGCTTGAATCGAGATGCGGCTTTCATCTAAATGCTGATAGAACCCAAAATATCACAAAAAGAGATAAACTGAGTTTCATTCATTTTGCGCGTGAATGTAGCATGTAATCAAGCAATTATTATAAAAAAAGATGTAAAATACACTAAAAGATGCGATTTTTAATTGTTTTCTAAACAGCAACTTTTCCACAAAAATAACAAAATTTAGTAATATTTTCGCTGTTAAATTTAATGTAAAAGGGTGGGGGGGGGGGGGGAGGGTAGCCCTGCTCTAGGCCCTGACCGGTGATTAGATAAAGAAGCATTTTTTTGGCCCTCATGGGAGAAATGATTGACGCGTGAAATGTCGGTTGTAAAATTGTAGCTCCGTGCCGTAATAGTATTTTAGTCCACAATATATTTTTTTTTTGTGTTTGGAAAACAAATAGTTCAGATTAAGTCATTATTGCTTTAAAAATCATCCCACGATTGCCTTTTCGGCAATAACGATAACGATCATAGATGCTGGCGGCTGCGGAGTGCTCAACGAGCGGTGTTCGTGAAGCTCGTCTATTCTTAGGAGAGCTAGTCGTTTTGCGTTCACCGAGGATTTTACACGAAGATCTCCTTAACCGACGTAGTTTGCCACAAGCAACTGTCACAAGTACGCGCCTTCGGAAGAGCTCTTTTTGTGGCGGGTCTGGCGTAAACCTGGCGTCTCGCGTCAAGTATGTTGCTTGATCTGGCTTGATCTGCCCTGTTTGCGCGTGTTGATCTTGAATAGAGATGTTGGTTCCCGAAAACGGCCCCACTGTTCTATGCATTGTGCAACCGTCGTGATTGCGACCATGTTTTTTACCACCCAGAGGGTACCTACACAGCACAGTATTTGCTAGCCATTTGGTTGGAGGCAATCTGGAATTCAGCTCGCATCAAGTTTGTCTAAGCATGTTCTCGTCATCGCGCCTCGAAAGGCAAGCTTTTAAGTTTTGGAGTGCAGCTGGTCTACCACAATTGAATATTTTTACGTCGTCTTTCAATTTTGCAATACGGCGCTCACCCACCTTGCTCGCGGCTGCCAGGTGAAAAAAAAAAATGAAAAAAAGAACGGTAAAGTTAGAAAGACTCCATATATATATATTTATTTATATTTTAGTTGTCTCGGTCGCTTAGTGAGTACATCGACACACGCTGAAAAACATGTGTATTGGACCGTGGCTCGAGAATATTGAATTGCCAGAACGCTGCTTTCATGGCAGCGACTTCTTAGCGTCGAAGACGTTTTCAGGCGGGGATGAATAGCAGACGGACGGAGGCAAAAACGGACGCAGACGTGCAGCCTTCTTGTCTGCGCCTCATGACATTGCAGACGACTATAGGCGGTGGTGAAATAGCAGAGAATGCCGGAGGCTGCCGCTCGACTGTTCACACGACTAGCAGGCGGTGTTCGCACTGATCTCTATTGTAGTAGGCTGGATCGCGCACCGCGGCCTCGGCAGCTGGGGCCGAGTGTCGCCCCGGCGGCCATTGATTGACACCAGCTAATGCACGGGACTTTATGGGAAGAACGAGAAAAAGTGCCGTTTCCCACGTTTCTAAGCTGTTGTCGGCACTGAAACATTTTGGACTCTTTTCGATTAGCCCGTCGAATAGCTTCGCGCAAGCATTAAAACTGACAGCCCTCGCCGTTCTTATCAATAAATATTTTGTGGACGAGAGTGAATCCGCTGTACCGCAGCTCAGCGAGGCGAGATTTACCTAGATTTACCGCGGCGTCGGTGGCAGTTTCGTTGAGTGTGGTTTAGCAGACGACAAGCTCGAAGGCTTTGCTACAAGGAATTCGCTCACTCCCCGAAAGCCGCTGTCGAGATGGAACTTCTTTGTCATTCATCAATTTTTGGGCTTCCCCGAGGACGGTCTCATTCATGGCAAGTTCCTTTGTTAACTCCACTACAAGAGTAAGCTTGCCAGCTGAGCCGTAGGTGCTTCGGTACTTTTGATCTTTTTAATCGGCGTTCGAACGTTTGACAAATACCCATTCGATCTCCAAACACCCGACATAAGGCTCGCAGCACACCATAAAAAACTTGCCTCCGAGTACAGCGTACATGCTTCAATATTCTTACTTTTGTTCGTTTCTCCCGTAGACTCGCGTGTATTGTCTGGTGTCAAGCAATGGCCACCGGTGGCGACACCGACGTGCTCCCGATTCGCGATCCAGCCTACTACAATAGATATCAGTGGGTGTTCGGCTTCCAGACGAGACGCACCGGATGACGTGAAAGCGAGACACTACGCTCGTTAGCGCGTTCGGTGTAGCAGCCAAGCCAGTCTCGTGGCAAAGGGGGGGGGGGGGGGGGATGATCTGTGGGCGGGGCTTAGAGCGGGCTGTGACCTCTATCTAAATTGCGTTTAACGGCGTCCCCCAATAATACCCCCAAAAGTATTCTTCAGTGAGAATTTTTTTTTTAAACCGTGTCCCATTTATGTCATTTTAACAAATATTTTTTTCTTGCAGTGTCCATTTAAGTACAGGCGCTGCCGAGGCTACTTGCTGATAGGACCAACCACAGAGCTTCTACAGCGCACCTTTCTAGTACTCGTCATGTTTCCAGACTTGGACGTAGTTCAACTACTCTACTCAAACTACTGTAGTTTAACTACTTTTTCGAGTAACTTGGTAACTTTCAATTACAACTTGATTTGGGTAATTAGTACTTTAATTTAACTACTTTTTTCAGGTAACTTCTACTCAAATTACTAACTACTCTCGAAATTATATAGTGCTAATTTTGCCCATCACGAAAGTTTGTGCACAGAAATTAATAAGACGCCGGCATATGAAGTGGCATTCCCGAACAAGGGGCCCCCTTGTTCGGGAAGGCTCCTTGGGGCAAGGTGGCGACGAGCAGCCAAAACATAACACCGACAAGCACGAACAACAAGCCTTGGTCAGGTATTGACCCAATCCGGTAATGCACGCAGACGCCGCGCCTCCAGGTGCAACCGCGAAAGACGGGGACACTCCGAGAGTTGTTGTTGTTTTCGTGTTGTCTGTCTTTAGTGAGTTCTGACTGAAGCGGTAGGTTCCACGGGAGGTGCCACTGGAATGACCTCGCAGCTGGGCACCTGTTCCCATGGTCGCCTTGTCGTCAGCGCATACGCCTTTGTAAAGCCGGACTCCCCTCGCGCACAAAACCTGGTACGGATAATCCGTTCATGGGAGCACGTTCTCGCTTCCAGCTGCAACTGTATACGAGCGCCGATGCTTGTTCACGTAATCCTCCGCGTCCTTCCGACCATCCATGCCTGGGAGACCTCCTCTTTGTTAAAAACTATTTACTTGTGAGGCGTGTCAGGCGCGTCAGAATATTGTAGTCGCCGGTGAGGATTGCGAGTTTTACCCTTGGGAGATCCTTTTGTTGGACCCGGTGTCAGCGGTGAAGTATACTTCGGTTCACCTTCTGTTAAACCAAAACAATCTTTTTTTTTTTTTTTTTTTTCAGTACCGTAGCACTAGCATTACAACGGGACGCGCAGTCGTCCGGATGATCTCATCGTCGTAGCGCGAGACTTGAACCCTTGACGGTCATGTGCACTCGCTCAGCGTACTCTCAGAACGACGTCGGAATAAAGAGGGGCCAGTCGTAACAATCTCAACTTGACGAAGATGAAAGAAAGGAGGAAAGTTTGTTATAAAAGACCCTCTACCCGAGGCAAACCTCACATGTTTCGTCATGGACACCTAGGATGCCGACACTCGCTTACCCGACCCTGCACAGCCTGTTTCTCAAATTCAACGCTGCCGTTCCATCCAGCCCGTCGGTGGAACGTCTATTTAGCTTGGCTCGGGACGCCTTTGGAAGGAAAAGGGGAAAACTCTCCTATCAAGAACTTTGAAAGCCAATTGCTTCTGCGAGCGAATAAACTATTTTGGTGAAAACGCAAGCCATAAATAAACTGCATTTATTTTAGGCTCGCAGGGTTTTTGATTGATCAAAACTGCTGTTCATTTTGCTACCACAAAAATATAAAAAAGTAATTTCGAAAGTAACTTCAAAGTAACTCGCTACTTTTTACAGTAGTTAGTAGTTTACTCAATTACTATTACAAATGCGTAATTTCTACTCTACTCCAATTACTTATGGCGTCGATACTCAGTAACTTAACTTAACTACCTTTTTTGAGTAACTTGTGCATGTCTGCATGTTTCCTTACGTGTCCTATCATCGCTAAACCAATTAGAAACTGAGAAGGCTCAGTGACCTGCATTTTTCTTTTTACGATGCCATTAGCTCGTAGCGTTGGCTGCATCTAAACTGAACCTCGAACAAAGAATAAAATGCTCAAATAAAGAATTGTTGGTCACGTGACCTCGGGGGGGTGGTCACGTGACCTCGGGGGGGGGGGGGGGGGGCTGACGTGACCTCGGGGCACGTGACCTGGGGGGCGACGTGACCTCGGGGGGAGGGGGGTCACGTGACCCTGGGAGAGAGGGGTCACGTGACCGTAGGGGGGGGTCACGTGACCTCGGGAGGGGTCACGTGTCCTCGCGGTTATGCCGACGCCGACGGCAACACCGACGCCGACGGCAACACCGACGCCGACGCCGCTCAAGCCGGAATCGGGCCCCTAAGAGCTGGGCTCTAAAATGGTAAAACTTTATATGCGCAAAGAATATGTATTAATACCCGTGCCACACGGGCAACTTGAATGACATTCATTTACAACGAATGACATTTGAGCGGACGGCCAATCAGCGCGCGACACTTTGAACGTGGCGCATTCCACGCGCGATAGATTGCGAGCTGATTCGCCGGTCACACAAATGTCACTCGTAAATGGCATTCGAGTTGCCGGTGTGGCACGGGCATTAGATTAACAATCCGAAGAAACCGGACGACACAGGTGAATGACTGGCGCTTGGCTGATAAAGCCACGTTCATTATCGGAAAGGGCTAAAGAATGATCGTTGACAC